GCCTTGCTTTGACGAATCGGATCGGTACTTTACTTACTTTTCCATTGTGATTACTTGTTCTAGTCGTTTGCTTCATTTTTTTAATTGAGAAATGAGCTTGATGTTCTATCTCATGAACGACGCATTTTATTATTTTTGCCAGTCATATATTGTATACGCTCCTGATTTTTATTCGCCATTACTGATTTTTTTACGTCTTTTTGAATATCTTACTCCGCTGACGTAGCTTGGGTGCGCTACCTGTTAAGAGAAAAATGACATGTCTCGAGACGGGGGATGTGTCTCGGGGGATGGGTTTGGTGCGGCTCCAGTCTGTTTTCTTACAATTGTAGAAGCGATCAAGCGACCATAATTGGTGGAAACGAGCTGCCGCCGCTCCAAACTCCGCCCCATGACACGCCCCAGCTTTCACAGCGAGCAAGGCTGTTGATGTTTTCTAGTCACTAATTTGTTCGATGGTACGGCATCTCAACTCTTCGCGGATAACGAGCCTCTGCTACACCTGCGCCCATTTGACCTCTGTTGCTGTCCCCCTAGAGTTTACATTGACAATTAGTTTTGTAGCATTGTCTCGTTGCATTAGTGAAATGAGGCTTTTAAATTGTTCGCGAATCTCTTCTTGTCAGTATTTCGCTTACTTGACTGGTTATCTGTTTACGAACTTACCGTCATATTATCTTAGAATTGTACAAGAATGCCCATAGTAGACGCGTGCGGCTGCGGCGCATGTGATTGCCAGCTCAGAGGCGCGCCGTGGCCACGAATAATTTAGTTTGACTAGTCGCTAGTTTTTTTCTGTTGTGGTCATTTTGTTCTAGTGTTTTGCACTTCTCATCGATTAGTTCACTATTCTTTCACGATTTCTTTCCTTTTATTGATTGATATTGATCGCTTATCATCCACAAGACGCTGACCTTTGCAAGTTGTGTAATTGTATTACTTGTAACGGTTATGGTGCGATTGCATTCAAAGAGTGTATGGCCGGTTTTACTGGCTATCCTCTCCCTCCCCGCCCACCTCTTTTGATTGTGGCCGTCATTGCATTTTTGATTGTATTTTGACGAATAGAGCTTGGTGCTGGAATTCTACGTGATGCATATTATTTATTTTCTACTCGGTTGTTTTTCCCCCACGTGTGAATAAAGAGCATTCCTTCTTCAGTTCGTTGCGGAAAGAAAGATATTTTCAGTTATCAACTGAGTTCATACCTATGTGTTCTTGTGGGACTGAAGGTACGATTTTTTATCATGCGGTATGTGAAGGGAAGTCTGGAAGTTTCATCTCTCTCGTTTCTTTGTTCTCTCTCCAACGCGCTCAGTGCCGTTCGCCTGTACTTCTTTGCATACCCGTCCAATGCTGAGAATCATGTGCCAATAAAGGAGCCTCGCTTGAGGCGTCTTGAAAGTTTCTTCTGCTCTCTTCCCACTGGTTATTCCAGTAGAACTGATATCGTCTTTTCTGAGCCGTATGCCTAAAACTTACGGCCGTGCAGTGTGTCATTAAGCCCATCATCGGTTCATTCGCTCAGGAATGAAAGGGCTCCGGTAGTTGACACAGTATTCATGCACAGGAACCGAGAAAGTGATGTACTGTTCCTAAAAGCACTACTCTTGTCCCTAACTTTTCACCGTGGTGAAATCTTCGCTAAAGTAGTCAGGAGGCCACCCGGCGGAGCCTCTGTATCCCTCCAAGAAGGGCTTAGGCTTAGAGCGCAGACGACCAGAGTTGCTCGAGGGAGAAACCGTGGACAAGGCATGGTCTCCACTAAGCCTTGATTAGACGTAGGGATCAGGCATTGGCGGTGGTTCCCCAACTGCGTTAGAGCCGTGAACTCACGCCACATACTGTTTCAAAAACCGTCTGCTGGCACACATTAGTATTTGTTCGGGAGTGGTCAGCAATACCCAATGATGAAGCAAAAGTCAAAAGCAGAAATACAGTCTTGTTTGCTTCGGATGAGAGGCCTGTCAAGCGGTACAGGTACAAGCGGCATGTGTTTGGCTCGTCGTCAAACACATGCCGCTTGAGGCCGCGTTCATAGCTTGCGTTCGTGAAGAAATGCAGAAGTGCGGAAAGTGCAGAAGTGCGGAATCTGCAGAAAAGCAATAGATACTTATCGACTTGAAGAAATGCGAAAGTGAAGAAGTGCGGAATCTGCAGAAATGCCGAAAGTGCGGAAAATCGATACGTATCGGTTG